GTTTCCGTTCACAAAGATTCCACAGGGTATCGTGAAGTTCTTTCGAAGCGAGTCTTACCATTTTTTCAACAAGGATCCCCTCTATCCTTGATTTTCACACACGATAACGCGGCTGTCCATGCCGGTCCCTCCGCGCCAGATGGAATTGCAGGAAAAAATGTGGCAGTTATCTGGTGGCCACCATGTTATCTGAATTAGATTCCAATAGAGAATCATTGGGCCTTAATTGTTATAAAGTTCCACAGCAAAGTAAAGCAAAATGGAACAGCCGAAAAGCTGAAAAGGTCGATCATCGGCGCCCAGACGAATTTCGATCCTACTGTAATAGCTAATTTGGCTACCAGCATTTCAAAACGTATTATTGTGTTCCTTATGATTATTGGGGGGTCATCCCATTATTGAAAATTCGTGACGTTTTTTCGTTATAGTAAAATCTCTCGACAAGTGATGTGTAGTCATATTTGCGAAACGGTGAAAATACGTTCTAAGGAAGATATTTTAATAATTCTGAATCGAGATTTCTCCAGAAATCAAGTATCAAGGTTTTTCGTTATGGGGAAACTATTGGTAATAGCGGCATTTTCCAAAAATGCACAGCAACTTTGGAATAGCAAAAAATTAGGGTGGACCTATATTTATGAAACGCAGTGTATTAGCAGGAGGAGACGGTAAGGGGGGGGAGGCATTTTCAGTGGTTTCTCACAAGCTCTTTAAAACGTCACAGAATATGCAAATATGTTTGAGCAAAACTGAAGAATTTGTCTTATTTGGTTATACCTCGGTTCCCTCGTACGGCAGGCAGTGGTGAAGAGAAATGGAAGGAGGTAGTAATGTGTTCGACTTGCGTCTCATTCACCGATTCATATGCTATTGATTGAAATAGCTAATGGTGAGCGTTGCTGTTTGAGACAAGCAACATTTATCAGGATGGTTTCCTTAACTGTCCGACCGTAGACCAGCGGTTGCACTGGGCGCATGCAAGCAGCTAAGCGCGCATGTCCGGATGCGGCGGACGTGTCACGCCTGTTGATCGGCTTGAAGCTCGCGGTGATGTATAGAACATGTTTCGTCGCGACACGAGGAGGCAGAGGCGATCAAAAATTTTGCAGTTACCGCTGTCGCACTGCCAAGGGCGTCCCCGCGTGGCGCTTGCGCGACCAGGCGGACGCCGGGCGCGCGTCCTTGGCCTAGGCCCGTAGAGAAGTTGCGGTACTTACATAGTAGGCCGCACTGTTTCGGCGAGAGTGTGCGGCAAGTGGGTGGGCCAGTCGCCGCGCGCGGTGTTGCGGCAACAGGAAATTCGTGAGCCAGGGGGAATGTAGCCAATTCAGGGGGTGGGGGTGAGGGCAGTCACTTAGCATGCGTGAGAAGCTGGAATGTTCGAGTTACACTACATCGCTGAGCCGCGCGCGGCGAACTGCCCCCCCCCCCCGAGCCACATTGGCGCCCTTTTTCTGCGGCAGAACCGATGCCTTGCTCTACTCCGCTTTCTACAGCGATGGCGCTCCGTGCAGTTGACGACCACATTCTCGTCGTGGCTCTCGTCGTGGAGGGCGCAGAGAAAACGACGAAAACAAATCGATAACATGTGGCAGTGCGGGCCCCACCGCGAACGCGCTTACGGTGGAAGCTAGGAAACCGTCCTAAGAAATTGTTTCTGGGCTGTTGAGGGGAAGGGGGGAGGAGGACGGACTATACTTGTGATTTGTGACCCCTTTTTCGAAAACTATGACCCTGAAACTGAAAAGATTGAGAATTGAGAACTTGGGATACTAGACTGCCGAGCAAATAGTTTGCAGGAGCGCTTGAATCGTTCGGACACCAGGAGCAGCATGCAAGGCCCCCAGGGGTTGCAGAAAAACCACTTCAGAATTCTCGCTGTTTCAACAAAACTTACCAATACTTCGCCTCTTGTATTCAATTACACAAGGACAACACAACGCAACAACACCTTGCTTGGGACGATTCTTGTTGGGAAGACAAAGAAAATTCAAGGGGGTTATTATTCCCTTTCCGGAGGAGGGCAGGGTATGGCCTCGAATGATCAAAAACGGTAATGTGGAAGGTTTCTACACATAGAGATTGTGATTTGTGCAAGCACAACTCGCTAGAGGTGTTATCGCCTCGTCACAAATTCCGATAAGGAACTTGGGATAAATGCTGTCTCCGTTGTGATTGATTCTAGGTGAACCACAATTTTGTTCAAACTGTACTTCACTGAAATTGTAAATACTGTTGCTTAGAACTAACACTTGTATTGCGTGAATATTGCGAGTATCCGTCTGATAGTTCGATTGAGCTGGAAGAAATCCATAGCACTCGCTTCTCTATGTCGTGTCCAATGGTTCAGCCATGCTTTATATTCCTTTTGTCATATTCTCTGTCTTTGAAGGCAAGCTCCGCCTTCATCACTGTGATGCGCTCTTATACACCAGTTTTATCCCGGGATTTGCCATTGAACACGATCTTCCTTGGGATGCGCCACACTTCCGAATTCTATCCAGCAGCGTAGTAGCAAGTGTGTGTATGGCCTATAAAACGACGTCTTGGGTGGAGTCAACGTTTTTACAAGTAACTATTATATTGGTTCTCTAATAGAAAAGGATATCAATCAACTGAAGGGAAGAAAAGCTCGAAAGAACGTCACTAAGGGCGTCGTTATGGACGCGGCGCATTTCGCCATTGCTCCACCTGTGCCATAAGCCCATAAAGGCTAGAGATTTTGGTGCTGATTAAAATACTTCATACATGTAATCGGGACCTCCATTACATCGAATAAAATTTGAGGCCAACCTCTACCCTAGGCCGGAAGCATTTTTAACGTCTCAGAGATGCAGCATCCATTCTATCGAATGCAATCACTTTCGATTGAGGTTGCTCAACAGGCTGATGAACCCGCACAGGACTTCCACGGTCACATACCCCAATAACCCCGATACTGTGTGAATCCTTTCGATGACTTTGAGATTGCGGGTTTGAAAATCCTCAAATCATTGCACTCGTACTCCTATAACTGCAGCACCCTAGTACCTCGAAATGTTCCTCATAAATTCCTTGAAGGAAATATTGAGTCCTGGGGCAATATTATCTTTACCTTTCTCATTTGTCTTGATTTTCAGTCTACTCTGAAAATAATGAGGGAATTCAGCATCTCGTAACTTCCGCTGCTAGCTCTGCCGCAAAAAAGCCTAGAACCCACTGAAGAACTGTCTTAGACGTCTCAAAAATCTGTTGACGTCCTAAGAGGCTCGAAGCGCGATAGCGCTGGGTTTCAAAGACCATGCGTTCTTCACATTCAACCATTTTCGAGCATGTTGTGTTCCTAAGAAATCCGACAAGTGGTAAAGAAGTATTTAATGAAAAAAAAACTTGTTTGCTTATGGTCTTTTTTGGCCGCAGTTCGCCTTGCGAATGTTTCACAAGAATGCTGGGTTGTGAACAAAACTTTCGCCCCAGGCGGGACTAGAACCCGCACCTCTCGCTTTCCGGGCAAGTGCGCTACCAGTTACGCTACCGGGGCACCATTTCATCCCAACTCAGCTTTTCATGGTATACGTACCATAGGCTGTTTTTGAGTAATCACGAGGGGGCCCCTTTGAAGACCAGTACCGAAACGGGCTTACTCATCACAGACCGTAGGATGAGTGGTATTGTCCTACCATATGCGGTGATGAATTCTATGAAGGCAATGAAATTATTCCATCCGGTAGAATATTCCAGATTTCTCAAGGCTTTTTTCGAAAGTTCTCATTTGTTGGTTTTCGATATTAAACTTAATAATTTCTTTTGATTTTCTTCTTGTATATAGCGAAACTTAATCTAGCATACCTCAAGCTTTGTTTGTTGGGCAAGGCAACTGACATTTGGTGTGGATATCATCTCTTATCACGAGCACGGAATCTAACAGCCACACATGACCGCGTGTGGCGGTGTGCCATGACTAGGGCATAACCAGTGCTCGACGAGAATTGCGGTGAAAATCGCTCCTTGAAGTGCGATACTAAACTTTGAATTGTCTTTCCGCACCTCAGACTTGAGATAATCGTGTTTTAGGACCCATACAGCCTCTTTCCACAATACTACACTAGGGCAGAGTAGATCCCCTGTATTGTACTTCGATGGCATTCAAGTTCAAGGTATGGGCCCTTCAGTGATCAATCGAGGCACGAATGATCACCACAGCTTCCATGGGCCCTGTGCAGTTGTAATGGCTGCTGTTATTCTGGTTCTGGGGGGTGCGATGCTGGAAAGCAATTATCGAAATCTGATCTTACCTTGTAGTCGGGGCACCCGGTTGGTACAGTAGGCAACCTATCCGCGTCGATTGAGCCAGTCGAGCTTACTAGTATGATTTTCATCGCGTTACGATGATATCTTTCCAAATAGACGTGGTGGTGTGGCGCCAAGTGGAGTGCGCGCATACAAATCACCCGTCAGGAGCAAGTCTTAACTAGGCCACCAAGGCAGGGGGCAGTCTACGGTATTAACTTCTCTGGGTCGGGGGCGGGGGCGAAGGAAGGTTTTCGGATCGTGTGCATCGGCTGGCCGCAACAAAGCACTGAAAAGGCTAGGTCACCTTCACCACAAGTGAACGCAATTGTGTTGAGAAAGTGTTTCTCCCTGAAGGGGTTATTTAACACCGATTGCGTTATCTTTCATCCTTTTTGGTTCCCAAACACTTTATTGTTCACTCACCTCAAATTACCTGGATCGCAAGTCTTACTCGCACTACTGAAACCATTCTTTCATCTGTCACAACTTTCTGTCCACTGCAACGTGCCTTCTCTCCGTTTGATCAATTACAGGGACGGGCTCTGCGTGATGAATTTTTCTCGTTTTCACGGTGCCTAGCAGTGGCAACCTCTTCGTCCGAGCTGTTATTTAGCACTGGGTAAGAATTATGTGCAACGTGTCGCTAGTTGTAGGTACCCGTGTCGACTACATCGCCGTGACATACACAAAGCAATTTATGAGGTGCCATTATAGAAATTGTTTTAGCGATGAAACTATATTGGATAGTGTTGTTGGCGATCTCATTGTATTCTACCGATGCCTACAAATTTCTTGTCTACTCTCCCATATATGGTTATTCACACACGAACTTTATGGGTGCCCTTGCTGACACACTAACGGAGGCTGGCCATGATGTGGTAAGTCCTAATGACTTCAGACAAAAATGTGAGATAAGGCCACTACGACTGATGAATCGTGGTCATAGAGTTTATTAGTTAATCTCACTTTGAGACGTGGAGTGAGGCTTATGGTTAGTTATTGCCAATCATTCTAGACTGTTCTAATGCCGATAATGGATGAAGACCAGCAGAACAAAACTGGACTGAAGTCAACGAAGAAAGTCATCAAAATCCCTCCGGATCCGCGTAATCACGAAATGTCAAAATATAAGAACGACATATTGGGCAAGATGTGGTCGATGGAGCCATCGGCCTATGCACTTCTTCAGGTAATCACGTTAAGGTATACATTGAGAAAGGCAGCCGTTCTATTGTTCCGCCCTCATAAAACGCTCGGGAATGATCCAGGGTGATCAAGGGAACGGCGGCTAAACGTGCTGTCGTGGTCGCGAAATCGAAACCCTGTAAGAGCTATCAAGATCTTCTCGGCTAGAGGGATCGGAGGGCATCGTCTAGAACGAAAACATGATCCATAAGTGCTCTGAAAATGCGCCTTGAAGTGGGCGGCGTTTGCCACGAAACCTCATAGTTCGGTTCCAAGAAGTTCCGGAACCGAGGAGAAATGTGGATAAGGTTAGAGAAGGGAGGAAGGGTAAATGTTAGTGGGCGGCCGTGCCGTGCACTCATGTGAGCGCAGTTTGTCGCCGACCTTATAATTCTGCTCCAAGTCCCAGAGACCGGGAGAAAAGTGGATAGAGCCTGACAGTGGAAGGGAGGCAAACTGCTGTTGGCGCGTGCACTAGTAGAATGGGCGCAGTTATACACGGAACTTTATAGGCCGGTTCCAAAAAGTCCTGGATAGAGGGAAAAAAGTGGGTAAAGCCTGACAACGGAAGGAAGTTCAATACTACAGGTGTGTGGGGAGTGCGTCAGAATGGGTGGGGTTATCCACGAGACATTGCGACTCGCTTAAGAAGTCCTGGAAACCGGGAAAGTGGTTAGGGTCTGACAACGAAAGAGATCATTCGTTATTTGGTGCGTGACACCGAGGTGGGCGAAGTTTGCCACGA